GTGTTTATTCTGTTTCATTATATTGGGTTGATGAGAAACTTTTCTTATGCAGATGGATGTCGGTCCTAGTGAACGTCAGTCAGTAACAACTTCGAACAAAAGACTCTGTGAATTAAAGAGACGTTGATGTGGACGCGGACGTAGACGTGCTTGAGTGCATGATGATGACATGCACATTGCCATGGATGATGATCCTATATATGGTACAACAGTTATTGATGATATTGCTATGGATGATGACCCTACTGGTGATAATGTTGACATTGTTGATGAAGATATCCTTACTCAGCCATTTTCGGGAGGGCCAACTGATCCATCAATCCTTAAAAAGTTTTAAAAGTCATGTTGCCGCAGCTATTTGGAATGGTGTTGATGAAAGGGAGCCCTTAAAGTGTCATAATCACTCATCTAAGATTCGTTTGTGGCCATGGTGGGAACAAGGAAACAACGCTACATTTGTAAACATTGTGGAGATGTCAAGACTTGCACAATTAGCTCGTTGCACGTACCACTTTGTCAACAAAATTGTAGTGTCCAGTTTTGTTGAGAGATGGCAACCGGAGACAAACACCTTCCATTTGACTATTGGAGAGATGAATATCACATTGGACGATGTCGCCATTATCCTAGGGTTTCCCATTGTAGGTAAATCTATTAGTGTGCGTAAGTTGTCAGAAAGGCGGGCCATTGCATTTGTGACGACCCCGACCTCCGAACTAGTGCATTATATAGTTTTAATGAGTTTAATTGCATGGTTATGTGCTTGATTGTGTGATTACATGTTTAATTCTATAATTATCTGTTGACATATGGAATATCTGTTTGAATTGACAACTTAGAGTTGGCAATTGAGAGTCTAAACAACTTTAGAAGCTAAAATTGACTAGCCCAATAGGCTAATTAGAATATTTAGAATTTTATGGTGACTTCAATTGAAATTTGATTCGGATCAAAATAATTAGAATAAACTGATTGGATTAAATAGAATTAAGCCTAGTTAATTAACCTTAATCAACTTTGATTAGGCTAAGCTAATTACATCTTATAAAAGGCTCAATTTAAGCTTATGAACTCATTATATACACTCTTGGGCTGAGATTTGAGAGAGAGAGGAGTTGAACTCAACACTTTAGAAAGAGGAAGGAGAATTTGAAGGGAATTGCTAGAGAATTGGAGAATCAAGCTAGGGCCACACTTAAATTCAACACTAGGTATGGCATTCATCACTAATTCATGTAGATATGGCATATAGAAGTTGAATTCCTCTCATTTTTTGGCATGTTATTGAAGAAAAGAAGCTATAAATATCAAGAAATAGAAGAATAGAGTTGAATAGCTTACATAAATGCATATTTGAGTTGGAATTTCATGGAATTCATTCATGCATGGCACAATTATACATCATTTTGGAGAATCCTACATGTCTTCATGCCTCTCATGTCACTTAATCATGTTTTGAATATGTTTTTTAAGAGATATACATCCAATTTGAATTAAACATTATTTTACAACTTGAAATTGAAGTTAATGGTTGAGAATTTGCCATGATTTTAACTAAATGATTTCAATTGGAAGCATTTTTATGTTACATAATGATTCTCCATGTTTTTGTACCAAAAACCCAAGATTTGAGGCTTTGAATATCAAGTTTGAACTTTAAACACAGTTTTGGAAATTCCAGAATTCGTGCTGTCTGCTCGAACGAGGGAATCCCCGCTCGAGCGTGAAAATCAGGCTCCTAGAATTTTATGAAATTTTGTAGTCCGCTCGAGCAACCAATGTTGTGCTCGAGGTCACTCGAGCGAGGACCCTTTTTCTCAGTCTTCCGCTCGAGCGACCATCGGGCGGAAATTTCATGTAACCAGTACTTTTACAGATCGCCCGAGCGACAGAAGTCATGCTCGAGCGACTACCTTTGTTTTTGAACCCCCGCTCGAGCTTAGGAAGTTGCGCTCGAGCGGAAACCCTGTTTTCAGCAAAATTTTACCAACTCTTTTAAATGCATATTTGCATCCTCATATCACTCCAAACATTCTTAGGCACCTTTTGGGCTCATATAATCATACCATAGGTTAGAAACACATAAAGAGAATTGAATTAAAATGAAATGTGGTTTCATTTGTACTTTGTTATGTGTTTCATTTAGGTGGACGACCGAGGCGTAGTGACAACTCAAACCACTGTGAGTAAAAACTTTATAAAGATATGTTCAAATTATATTTACTTTTGAAAGCGTTACTATTATTGAAATCGATATATGAATGGGTTATTGAAACTCTAGTTCTTATAAATGAATGAAGTTCCCTTTTGAAAATGTATTCATGACTCAATGATTGACCCTTGCCTGGGGGAGATTAATACCATGGCCCATTGACCCTTGCCTGGGGGAGATTAATACCACGGCCCATTGACCCTCGCCCGGGGGAAACAATACCGTGGCCCACTGGATAATTGGAATGTAGAAATCTTTACTGTTAAACCGTAATGGTTGCACTGGCTATGATATTTTGATTGACCCTCGAGGTTCTATTGTTATAACAACGTTGTTATTTTATCGAATGTAATACATGTTAGTTGAAATGGGTATTGATGTTAAAATTGTCATTCGTAATATTGTCGAACTTCATTCATAAAACCTCTTTATTCTGTTATTACTCATTGGGCATTAGCTCACTAATTATTTATATATGTAAATGTAGGTGGGCAAGCTGAACATCAGAGTTAGATAGCCTCGAGTCTACCCAAGTCAGCCTTTTGTGGAGTTTCCGAGTGAAGTAATCGGGCTCGAGATGAGCCATGCTTGTCTAACCTTTTTTGTGTAGTTAATGGTTTTGTATCTGTATATAGTTGGGGTTGCGTTTTGTAAAACATGAACTGTACTTATGTTACATGGCCTGTACTTTTGATAAATGTATTTTTTTGGAACAAAACCTAGCTTAACATATTCGCTCTTCTCATATATGCACAGCTCAATGGATAAAATTCTTTGACTTTTAGACTTCCGCTAAGCCCCGTACTTTACATTAAAAGTTTATTTGTATAGAGGCCATAGGTAATCTATGATTACTGGCTGGTCATGACGCTAAACCTATAGGGGCGGATTTGGGTCCTGACAACATTTGTAGTTAATACCTTGGAAATTGATGAGCAAGACGTCCGACATGAGATATGTAGTTCTGGAGGCAATTTAGTGAGGCTTGAGTGGTTGAGGGCACACTTACATAATGTCACAAACAATGATTCAATGGAAAGAATTGCATGTGTAGGTAGAGCATACTTGCTATTTTTGTTGGGTTGTACAGTTTTCAGTGACAAGACTTGTACTAGGGTCCTCGTTGTTTATTTGAGTTTGTTGTCCGATTTGACGATTGTATCTTCATATGTTTGGGGTGCTACTGCATTGGCATACTTATATAGACAGATGTGGTACGCTAGTAGGTCCGGCGTGAAACAAATAGCCGGTTACACGACACTCCTTGAGGGATGGGTTTATGAGCACTTTCGGGGATTCCAACCACACTTGAATATGAATTACACTCGAGACATGCCACATGTTTACCGTTGGACTTCTTGGAGAGACTCTGGTTAAGAGACACAGTTGTAGGCTTTTCAAGAAGAGCTTGATAGGTTGGGTGTATATGATGTAAGTTGAAAAGTCTTTCAAAATTTGAAACTCTATATCATACAAAATTTACAGTTGTTATTGTTTGTAGGTTATTTGGGATCCGTACCAGAGTTGCAGAGATGTCCATCCATGTCACCCAGTTACGTTCTACCATAGTTTCCTAAAGTGTTTGGAAGTAGTTGAATTGAACCATATCACCCTGATAGAGTTTTGAGACAGTTTGGCAGAGTGCAGACAATCCCTAATCCACCACTTGGCCTTATGCGTGCTTCTCGAGAAGCCACAGCTCCACGCTACAATGTTATGTATGTATACTTGGACATCATTTGGGAGGTATGGGATAACCATGTGTTATCTGATCAGGGGAGGAGTACATCGGTACGACAACCTTGGGATTGTGTTCCTAGTTACATAGATTGGAACCAAACCATTACCCATATGTATGTAAAACCCTAGCGCGTCGTTCTCAAGTGGACCCGAATATCCATCATTATCAATATCCTAGCCAAGATGCACAGGTATCCTTTTTTTCATTTACATTGCAAATTATTTATGTAAACTGTTACAAGTTTGTACATAATATTATATTTGTTCTCGTAATGCAGTATATGTCACAGATATATCAGATTACTCATCTTTTCGTTGAGGCTGGCTATGAGGACAATGTTCAACATCCTGATAGGCTTTACTACGCAATTGATGCAATCGAACAACTTCTTCAAGATCAGCACATTAGTGAAGCTGCGCCTAACACATCCACTCAGGGTCGGTTTGCGCCCAGCTCTTCCACTGCACATCGTTTTGGAGCACATTACACTCGCCAGTCACGTAGTTCATAGTAGTTCATAATGTTAGCACAAGTAGTTTCTGATGGTGTTGGTGGATGTATAGGAGACAAATATTATTATTATCTTCAGATTATGTATTTTTTGGATTATGTACAAGCACACATATAGTTTGTGATGATGTGGATGGATTGAACTACTATTTAATATATATATATATATTTTACATACTTGTTTAATCTGATTACTTTTTAACAACAATTACACTTTGTTAATATTTTTTTTATTATGTTTTGTGTTCAGACAATGTAAAAATAATATGATATCCATTCCACAAATTAGAGAACTATAACGCATATAATATTTTATTTTTTTTTAAAAAAAAAACTGACCATTACAAAATCCAATGGCAAAATGATATCTACCTCGTTACTTCATGCTAGTAAATCATAAAAACTAATGTTTTAAAGCTGTCATTATTACTCTGTAATACATCAATCTATGTTAACTACATCAAATGTCTCTCGAGTAGCTCCATTAGATCCTATGTTGTTTTTGAATTTTTGAATGCAGCTAACATATGCATTCTCTCATTCTGATGCACAAGGGTGATGGTGAACTCGCCAAAGCACGGCAATGGGAGGAACTAGATGACCGGCTTTCAAAAATACCTACACGTATATCCAAAAAATTACATATCTTTACCAAATACATAAAATTTGTAATTATGCAAATACTAGACAACAATGTTTGGTTATTTTCATAACTTATACCTGCACAAAATGATTTCCATTGACAAATCCAATGGCAATCTCGCGACGATCAGCTAGGGTTATTGGCGGTGATCTCAAAGGTAAGAAAGCGAGACACTGTTACAATAACAAGTGGTACAAGACTACATTATAAAATGATGCAATAAGATGCTCTATGTCAGGCATAGTCATCCAACGATCAAAGCCTGAGTTATTTTCAAAATATGAAATGATGTGTGTCAGCTCCTCAACCCTCTCATGCGACCCGTATAGTACAACATATTCATCTCTGTGATTATTCAATTCAAGTAGTAGATCGCGCCTAACTTGCACCCAGTCATTCTCTCCAAGACCAAGTAAACCTGCAATAGCTCTAAACCCATAATTCCCATCACCATCTACATCCTTTATCAACTTTAAGAATGGTATTAACATTGGCGGGAAGTTACTAGCATATGCACTCTGTAAACTTGTTCTTGTACGACATGTCTTTGTCTTCACATTCCGCTTCTTCTCATGTACTTTTGAAGCTCTCTTTTTCTTTGACTGATTGGGAACTAATGTGCTCTGGCTATCATGCCCATCGTCAACCAACTCAAATGCACATAGGTCACGACGATAAGATATATCAATTTTCTTATGTCCTCGACGTGGATTAGGTTTCATATCAAGCTCAATAAGAAAAGTGCTCGCTGGATTTGCAATTTTCCTCACCTTCTTCAACATATCCAATTGTGTGGCAATATCAAACTTTTTGAACCGCTTTAAAATCAACTCAAGTTCTGGGATACAAGTCAATTCCAACTTCTGTTCCTTCGAATTATGCACACATATAGTAAGTCGTGTCCAATGTACATATATGCTACTGAGTGGAATAGGACGGCCTTGTCTCATGCAAGCTGCAATCTCGTGAGCACAAGGTAAACCATGTGTGCGCCTAGGAACACACCCACATGTTGCAACATCAATTCCAACTAAATTTGTTCTCTTACTCTCTGCCAACACGTACTCCAATGCACAAATAGACACATTACCTCGGAGCTCTCTGAATTGAGAAGGTCTGAATTGATGTTGCACAGTTGTCAAACTCTGCTCGAATGATGCTTTAACTTGAACGTGCTGCAACTCAAGTAGACAATGTATTTTTTCAAATGAAATCTCAAATGTAGTTTGACTTAAACCTAATTGCCTCTTCAATCTAGCATGAGCACTCTTAACCCTGTTCATATGGATGTAAACAAAAATAGTCAAGCATAATAATTAAAAATAACAATATGATTTATAATAAATTAAAAAAAAAAATCTTACCGATTAGTTGTAACATTACCAAAATGCATACACATGTCTGTATTTACCGCAATGAATTTTTCTTGATACGGATTTAACCAACTCACAGTAACATACTTGATTGCCTCCGAATAGTTACTGAAATCCTTATGTAATGTTGCAAGGTGATCATTGTATTCCTCTTCAGTTGATGACAATATTAAATAGTTTCATGCAGTGTTAAACTTGTCCTATTTTTCTTTTGTCTCAAACATTTTCTTGCATTTTGTCAATACATTCTTATTAATATACCAACGACATAACAAATGTCGAGCATTCAGAAAGGTGTTGTCAATGGCATTCATCAAAGCAAGCTCTCTGTCTGTGACAATGACTTCAGGTAAAACATCGTCGTCCATAAGATCACGCAATGTTTGTAACGCCCATGCATAATTATCAACCTGCTCAATTTGCAAGTATGCGATAGCCACGAAGAATGTCATATGAGTTGATGTCACTCCCATAATTTTAAGAAGAGGAAGCCGATATCTATTCGTCTTATATGTGCAATTCATAATCAACACACGACGAAATGTACGAAGCAAATCCAAACTCACTGGATGTGCCCAAAACAAGTCCGTGACAATCATAGAGCCTTCCTCACATCAATGACGCTCAATGTACTTATGTTTCGCTAATTCACCCAGCAGTTGTTGCATCTGGGATTTACCAGCTTTCTGTAGAACCCTACATCGATGTCGTACATTGTAAACTGTCTTCATTGTGCTCATATTAAGGGCATCCCTCTGTTTGAGTGTAATGAGTATCTCTTTTGATATTACTAGGCTCTTTGACATATCTACTAATAGCGACTTTTCATTATCTGACAATCTCCCTACATATGAATATCCTTGGAGATGCTCTGTAGCTGGATGATTATGCAGCCCGCAAACTACATTCAATGTCCATTCATCATTTGTTTTCAACTTGAATGCCCTCAAATCAAATGGACATTCGCACTTCTTTGTACCAGTTTGTCTCAAAAAGTCTTTTGAGTCATCTTTCAACTTTTTATACAATCTATACTTCCCACTCCGCTCACAAGCAAGATAAATTCTTAGTCTCTTACGATCGCCACCATAGTCCGACATCTTTATAATAATAACAAAGTCATTTATCCTTCCAATGTCACGTACCCAAGTGAGTAATTCATCTTTGTTGTCGAAAATCTAGATATAATGTCATACAATTTTTATAAGAACATACTAAACAAACTAACAAATACAAATTATGAACTTATGAATTTTATGTTAAAAGTTACATATTTAGCTGTAAAATGACTAGTACAATTCACCATAATATCCGATCAAACCTCAGGTTCTTCAGTGCATGCCATCTAAAGAGGAGGGGGAAAAAATTTCATTCGGTTCTACAGAAAAGAAATAAATCAAGAAATTCAGCCCTAAAAAAACGAAAATAACAAAAAATTTCGGAACTATATGTCCGAAAATATTAATTTTATTTAGCCCTTAAAAACCAAAATAAATTTTAAAAAAATCATAATTAAAGTTTCGAAATATATAAAAAAAAATCGGTACTTTTGTAATGAAATATTCATTTTATTTCGGTGGTTTATTTCCGAACTAATTTACAAAATTCGGCACTGAGTTTCTGACTAAAAAATGCAAAAAAAAATACGACACGATTTTACCTTTTCATCACTGATTTTGCTGTCACCATTGCTTGAGTTTGAACTTCCATAAGTTTGCAACTCTTCCATATCAAAATCAAGTAAAAATTATTGAACTAATAATTAAACGATGTTAATAATCGAGTATAAACTAAAAGATTAAAGCAATATGAGAGATGTTTTGTTTGCAAGTAACAGAGAGGAGTACAGAGTGTGTAAGAACAAAGTGACCACAATAAAAAAAATTAGGGTTTAATTTTTTTGTTTCAAGAGGTGTATATTGAGATATTTTTATTCCTAAAAGATGTGTATAGAGAATTTATGTATATAATATTAGGAGTGTTGATCAATGGTTATTATAGTAATTTTTAATTAGGATATAATTGTCATTAAGTTAATTTTTCATTAAGTGTGTTCCCTGAGTTTATCAAGTGGGTGAAAATAGAATTTCCCAAATTTTTTCAATTTTACTTTAGTGAAAGTACCAAAAATATCCTTAAGACTAATTTTACAATTCTATTTACATCATAATTCTATCTCATTCCACTATATATTTTTCTAATTACACCGTTCAGCATAATTTGCCCTTCTAATGTTTAATTGTATCGCTTTGTAGTATGAATTTTGAATGAGTGAATCTATAATACACTCCTAAGGTAAAAATTACAAACCAACTATGAACATTTATGAATTATTGTGATTATATAATGAATAGTGGGATAAAAATAATACACATTATTTGTGATGAGAAATGTTATAAATCATTTTGGTAAGAGAAAAATATGATATGCTGTAGTATTCATAATGAAATGTTATGATTTTATTACATATATTGGGGTAAAATACATACAATAATATACTTAAAATTGTGTAAGGAAACAACTCCTAAGAGCTTAAGAGTATTTCCAACAAAAGCTTTCTCTATTTTATTTAATCAAAATTTTAATAAAAAGTATCTTCTCTATTTTAATAATCACTTTTTTGAACTATCACCTTTAACAAACTTCATATTCTTTTCTCCATATGTTTTAAATATTTTTCCTTTATTATTAATATTATTTAAAATAGAAGACACCACAAATTAGAATATTTGACAAAAAATAATTACAAATGCATGGATGCAAGTCTACTTTTTTTTCTTTTTTTTTCGTGTGTGAAAAACACAAATAAAATTGCACTCTACAATGATTTCTAAAAGTGCCCCACTACCCACTAATCTATGGTTTCTTCTTAAAAATATGTTTTATAACTTTCCTCTCTCCTTCACCTTTGAAAAAATTATTTTTTAGTTATAGGAAGTGATTAAACACTATATAGGAGCAAAAAAAATACATTCGTGTTGAGCAAGGATACTCTAGGAAGAATTTTTTTAATTTTTTTTTTTTTGTATTCAACTTCTTAAAAATAAAGAAAAATTGGGAAATAGGGAGGTTATAGATGCTCTTAGAGCATATCTAATCCTTCATCAAATTTAAATTTTCGTATGTATTTTTTATATTTGATGAATGTTTTAATTTTTTTTGATAAATATTATACGTTTTAAATATATCTAGATTAGATATATCTAAAAAAATACAAAAAAATTGTGTAAAATAACAAAAAAGTTCACTAAAAATAAAAAATTTAATTTTTTGAAAAATGAGTTAAAACCAAACAATTTATTATCAAAAAAATTGTTCAAATGTCAAAAACTATTAAGCTGGCAAAAACCTTTTGAATTTTAAAATAAATAAATAAATAAATTGACAAGCACTTCTTAAATTTTTGATATTTCGCACAAAATTAAAATAATATAAAAATGATGAGTATTTTTTAATTTTTATTATTTTTTGAGTAAATTACAAATATATCCCTTAAAATTTGCTTAAAATATGAATTGTCCTTTATGGTTCTAAAAATTACAAATACCTCTTGTTAGAATTTTTTATTTAACAAAATTAATAGAAAAAATCTCTGTTTGTTTGTATTTTCAAATTAACTTTCAACACGTGAACTCCCGCTTCACGACATTCAAAATACAATTCCGCATGTTAATTCAAATTACAGTTTGAAAACCCGTTTGGTAGCTTGTACTTCAGTTCTCCACTTTTAACATTTCTGCCTTCTTCCTCTTTTGATCTGAAAAGCTTCCATGTCCTTCTCCATCGTCTTTGAAAATTTCACGTGAACCTCATCTTTCTTTCTCTTTTGATCTGAAAAGCTTCCATGTCCTTCTCCATCGTCTCTAAAAATTTAACGTGAATCTCATATTTCTTCTCTGTATCACGTAAACCTCATATTTCTTCTCTGAAAAGCTTCCACTGAGTGGGAATTGGTGTGAGATGGGATGACCGGCCGGTTGTCCCGGTCCGACTTCCTGGTGTTCGACTATCTGAAGCTACTCTGAAGGCTCAGAAGGTTCAGGTTTTTTTTTTTATTTTTATGTTTTACTTTTTATTTCTTATCTATTATTTTTTTTATAAAATTAATAATTTTTTAATAATATTGCATACGTATACTGAACAAATACTGAACAATTTGTTACGACTTTATTACTAAATTAATAATGTGTAATAAATGAGAAAAAAAATTGATGATGTTTTGTAAGGTTTACGTTAAAATTTCTATTTTAAAATATTAAACTTAGTGTATTTATGTTAATTTTTATTAATATGTATTCTCAAAAGTTGTTGAATTTAACAAAATTTTAGAAAAAAATAAAAAACTTACTGTAGATGATGTTTGTACAGGCGTAAAAAATGAATTGATAGAAAATTTAATTGACACAAAATAATTGACATAGATTTATTTTTAAATGAAAAAAAAAATTATTCAAAAAAAAATACTAAAAAAAAATTAATTGAAAAAAAAAATCAATTTTTAATTTCAGTATTTTAAAAATAGTTTAGTTATTACTGTTGATAAAAAAATACGTATATCGATATATGAGTTGTGTGTTTGATTATAAATTATTGATTGAATTAAGTTTTGAAAACTATTTCCAAAACATATCACCAAACAAATTTTCTTATTTCACATGTCACATCAAACTTTCAAAACTTAATTCAAAATACATCTTCAAAACATATTTCAACACTCTATTTAAAAACCATAACTAAACAAATTTTCTACACTCAAATCATAATTCCACAACACACAAACTCAAAATACAACTCATACTCTCAAATCACATTTACAAAACTCTACCAAACACAAAATTTTAACTGCCCTTCTATTCAATAGTAATATTATTAGAATTATCAATTAAAATATATTTCTGACATCATTAAAAAATATTAATTAACTTCATAATTTATTAATAAAATGAGCAATTTGCTATGCGATCAGAAATTTGAAAAGACGGGCAAATCATAATTTTTAACACTACAGGGGTATTTTAATCACATCTCAAGGAGTGCCTTTATAATTTATCCTTATTCATTTATTTATGAAACACAAAATAAATTCAGAGAATAGTTAATTTCAATCATGTTGGCACTAATATCTTATAAATGGAGTGATACATACATATATAAACTGTTAATTTCACTTGATATAATTATTATTATTATTTTTTTAAACTGCATGATGGTAAATCAATAAGCTTAAATTTCAACCTATAAAAAAAGGATATTGAAATGAAATTTCAATACAAAAAACGCGATTAAATAATTTGCTTATTGCATATAAATATAGGTAAAGTGGAACATCATGAGGTTCCTCATCATAAACAAATAAATAAATTAATAAAAAAAAAAAAAAAAGCAATACACATACAATTGAACAATATTCTTAAGGGCATTTACATAACAAGAATGAGAACCTCACATATTTCAGATCAAACCCCTTTGTATAAGAGAGAGAGAGAGAGAGAGAGAGAGAGAGTCAGCACAGTACAAACATATTATGCATATGTACAAACTGCAACTGAGATTACCAAAATGAATAAGCAAACCTAATGCTCTCTATATGATGATAATGATAATCAGCCATTTTGTGAGGCAGCTCACTGTGGTTCTGTTCATCAACAAAGACAAAAAAGAGAAAAAAGAAGAAGATTTTATTAGCACATCAAAAGGAGGGCTTCACGAGTTCGGCCAAGAAGACTTAATGCCGTAGCAGCAATGTGATGTCCGGTCAGCCCTGCAAGGTCAAGCTGTTCCTTTGGAGATGCGTGCTCTATGTAGTTGTCCGGTAAAACAATTGGTCGCCACTGCAAAGTCAGATTTGGAAAGGAAAAACAATCAGAAACCCAAAATTTTTGGTGTTAAACAAGCCATACAAACCTTAAGTATAATCCAACTAATGATACTAGAGATTCAATATCTCTCCACATGCAGAAGAACAGCACAACTGACAAAAAAAACTTTGAAATCTACAAATAGTTGTAAGAAAGGAATAAATAAGTAAAGACACAACTAGCACAATCACAGGGAATTCTAACATACACACTCTTATGCACCATATGCACCTCTAGTTATGCTATTTTCTTCTTTAGTTATGACATTATTTTAGTTATGACTCATGAATTTTTTAGTTCTACCTCAGGTTATGTTTGGTTATGACATTTTTTTTTAGTTATGACTCATAAAGTATGAAATTATGTCATTTTCTTATTTAGTTATAAGGTGCATATGGTACACACCCTTCAAAAGGGTGTGCAGCATAGTGTTTCCCGCACAATCACTACTTTTGTAAGACCAGTATCATGTTCTCTTGGTTCCTCCACAATATTTTTTAAATTCTGTTTTTTTGTTTTTTTCCAAACAAAATACAAGAGGAGTTGGTGTTTTCTTTGTTTTGTACTTTCAAGAGTTTTATCATCCTCTGTGGCAAGCAGAGGTCTAACTCGCAAGAGGGGGGCCCTAAAAATGATTTGATTTATTCAGAGTAATATTTCATTTTTTTTTAAAACTATTCTGTCACGCAAGAGTCCACACATACAAACTAAATCACTGACGAGAACACAACCTTCCATACTTTCAGTCCAGTTAAGATTTACAGAAGTTAAAGAAGCTAAAACTCAATACCGAAACACGCCAATGCTGTTGTAGCACCAAGGCAAAGAAATAAGTAGCCGAGCTCGAGCTTTTTTGATCATGTATTTGAGTTGAGTTCAAGCTTGACCATTGCATTACTAAGTTCGGCTCAGTTTGCTTTAACCCTAAATTTAAGCATCCTTCATGTGAAATGGGTATAGTATTAAAGTTTTATTTTATTTCATTTCGGAACTTCGAATTAATCATGAGTGACAGAAAATTCATAAAAAGAGGGTAATGCCATCTTTATTTGGAAAGAGAGAAAGAGGAAATCATGTAGGTGAAACTCAAAAAATCAAAAGCAGTGGATATAGATATAGTGTGCATGTGATGATGTGCTCAATGAAATGTAGTAGTTACTAACTTCTGTCATCCAGCTGACATGAGCATGTGACTTTAGTAGGCACAAATTATAAGGACATGATATATGAATATCCATCTTACAGAAATTAGCATGTTACTAAATTCTATACTAACAAATCTCTATCCATGATTTTCGCATTGGTAGAAATGGGTTTTTTCTCCCTATATATATATATTTTTTGGTTCTCGAAAATACAAAATGGATACTAACACAGAAAACTTGGTTTTCTTTCAAATCAAGTAGCAATCAAGTTGAAGTATACATCTAACAGTTTAGTTTGAATTTTACGTAAATTTCCCACCCATAGGAGGATTAAAAATGAAGGCAGAAAATGCTCTGTTCTGGTATACATTGCTGAGGAATTCTGCAAATAAATTAACTCGTATATCGAAGCTACATATATTGATATAAAATTTTTGGAAAATATCCATAAACATGAACTTATTTATCAGGCATACAGAAGTATGATAGAAATGGATTAGTTTCCGCAAAGAAAATCAGAACTCATGTCCATCAAAAAGTTGAACTCATCAAGAAATATAAAGTTAAATGAATATTACCTTAGTTGTTCCATCGAGTTGCCCATCAAGTGCAATGAACTGAGCAACATGCGATCCAAATCCACCAATAGAACCTTCCTCAACAGTGATAAGAAAGGCATGGTTTTCACATAGCTGCCTGACTAACTTTATGTCAAGTGGCTTGCAAAATCTTCCGTCAGCGACTGTCACATCAATGCCAAGCTTTGAAAGAAGGGACTGAGCTTTAAGGCAATTCTGAACCATGGCTCCATAACCAAGCAAAGCGACATCTCTACCCTCTTTAAGAACTCTGCCTTTCCCAATCTGCCCAGAACAGAATGTAGCCAAATTAGTCATAATTCAGAATTCAAAGAAGCCCATGAAGGTGTATAGTCGGAATAAGCAAATTATTTGAGAAAAAAGATAGGGAATCCTAAATTTATGAAGTCAACACTAGAAGGAATTTGCAATCATGGTTGTTAGAATCTTGCGATTCACGATTCAATTAACACAATTCGATATGAGTTTCAAGCAAAATGATTCGATTTGTGTAGTTGAATCTTAAATTGAGTAAATCTTACAATTCAATTGCAATTCAGTATGATTCACCGCGATTCAATTTTGTTTGCAAAATGCATAAAACGGCTTTCACAAAATAAAAAAAGAAAAGAAGATATCAACTAACTATATTGATATACGTGATTTTATATGTATATCATATATACAATTTAGTTATATCGATATTTGTTTCAATTTAAACACTATATGTGAATTTTTATATATTTGTACATATATAAAATTACGGTAAATTATGTTGACCTCCCCGAAGGTTTGAAGAAAAAACAGTAAAACCCGAGAAGTTTGACATAATTACATTGGACTTCCCCAAAATTTTAATTCACATAACACTCAGCCTCCCTTTCATTAGTAATTCATTAGTCATATCATTACTTTTAAATTGAAATGTATATTTTACCTTGTCTACTATTATGTTTTCACCTTAGATGCATCAGTTTCGGTCTCTTTAGCCTTACTAAAAGGGAAGTCGGTGTAATCACATCAAAACTATGGGGCTTGCTGTATTTTCTCCAAATCTCAAGGGAGGTCAATATAATTTACCCATAAAATTATATATCATGCTAAATAAAGTGAATTTGATGATTCACAATTCACTATTTCAGAAAAACGATTCATAATTCGATTCACGATTTGATAACAATGCTTGAGATAATTTAGCAATAATCTGGAGATATACAGACATACAGTAGAATACGCAAAACTGATAATCGTATTCCATTAAAAAAATATGAATTAGCCTTCTTGTACTAGTCAATTATGCATGATTCATCAAATTGTAATTAGAGATATTCACAATAAGTTAATATAAGCAAGAAACAAAATAAGGATATTGATGTATTATTACCTCGATTGGAACACCGCTGCATACAGAGTTGTTCATCTTAACAATCGCACCTCTAGGGTACCGCAAGCAAACTGGCCTGTCATCAATCTGGGCTGCCGTGGCCACCATGTGAATAAGATCATCCTCATCGGATGGTGCCATGACAACCATGTTTGGCAAACATGACATAAAGGTTATATCAAATGCCCCACAGTGAGTTGGACCATCGGATCCCACCAATCCTGCACTTGTAATGACAAAACGCACTGGAATTCTTTGTCGATCCACATCATGAACAACCTAAGGAGGCAATAAGAGAAGGAAAACACTTTAGAAAGCATTAGTTTAGTCTTTCCCACTTTGTTAGTAATGTCAAAACATGCTCCATGCCTTGCCAGCTATCTTTCATGGACTTGGGTACGGGTGTCTGGTGTCGGTGCATATATCTAGAGGTCGGACTCATCAAATCTTAAATTTAAGGGTACACAGACTCAGCAAAAAATAGTCATATTTTTATATTTTCAATCTATTATGAGAGATAAAATGATACTATATGTAGCATACAACATCAAAAAAGTGTTTTATAGCAATTACACAATAAATATATGACAAGTGTCCATGGAAAGTATCGAACACATATCCCACACTTTTGTCCAAAAGTAAGATGTCTGACACGGGTATTTGATTTATTTTGAAGAGTTAATGTAACATAACTTGCCAGTAGATCAACAAAAAAAAGAGAGATAAAATAAGGTTAAAAACACAAGCCAGAAATTGTAATGCCATGGAAGAAACCAATATTTTGGCATTAGATATTATCAGATTTACCCATTAATACACTACCCGTTTATTAGAAATATTTACTGAGGCCTCGTTTGGGAACAAGCTAATTTAGTAACTTTTTAGCTATTTGGCTAAAATATGAGCTAAAAAAACTAGTATGTTTGGGATGACTTTTTGACTTTTTACGAAAAGATATGCAAAAAGTAGAGAGAAAAGAGAATCTTTGACTTTTTGATATGGGTTATTGGCTTTTTGGCTAATTTAGTAACTTTTTGGCTTTTTGGCTAAAAAGTTCGGTTGCCAAACGAGGCCTGAGTATATATATATGCATGCATCTTAGCTCTGTTTTATGAGCTCGGTGTACGGATATCAGGTGCAAACATGTTGGATTCATCCATTACCCAAATCTGAGGGCACCAAAATGTGTGGCTACATATTTATATTTCTAATATTACTTTTTTATTTCCTAGGATAATATCGTGCTTTGTGTGATATAGAGTATAAAACATGGGCACTGCATTCATTTCAACAAGTAGCAGAAAAGAGTTGGTGCAAACAATAGTAAACATCAATTACTAGACTTGGTTGCTGGATGTGTATCTAACTAGGCATGCCAAACACAAGTGTCATGTGTTTGACATGGGTACTTCATGTGATTTGAAGAGTCTATGTAGAATAGAACCTTATCCATACCAAAAATAATAATAAATATTTTACATATCATGTATGACCGCAATATGACCCATTGCGGCAGAACATACACACACAGAGAGAGAGAGAGAGAGAGAGAGAGAGAGAGAGAGAACCTGATCATAAGCTCTCTGTAGAAAGGCAGATGGGATAACACAAAATGGCTTCAATCCCCCACACGACAAACCAGCAGAAAAAGTAACTCCATGCTGCTCAGCCATCCCCACATCGAAGAACTTGTCTGGAAACTTTTCCTGAAATTGTTGAAGTGGTGGTTCCATTCCCATTCCTGCATGAACTATCACAATATCTTTGTCTTTCTCTGCCTCTGAAATCATAGCATCCACAAAGTAATCACTGTATGTTTGAGGACGAGTACTACACGGTAAGGAATCAGGGTTACTTGAACCTGCTTTATGCAAGAAAATAAAGCAATGAGAATATTGAGAACACCTGTAAAGGAGGATTGAGGTTGTTGTACTCAAAATGCATCAAACCCCTTGAACTTTTACATGAAATTTTGATAAAGAGTTAGAAACAAAAGAAGCATACCTTCATTATATTCATTTAATATATCATGCTTTTGGCTATCTTCTACTTCCCGATCTTCCTTTGTTATTACATGAACCAACACAGGACCCATCGAATCCAAGGATGCTACTTCATTTAGGACACACAAAAGATCATCAATGTTGTGTCCATCAACGGGACCTATATAATACAACCCAAGCTCTTCAAACAGAGTGGATCCTGGTGGACCTATCATACCACGGACAAACTCATCAACCTTGGCTGCCCATTCATGTGTACCTCCACCGATTCTCTTTGTAAGACTCTGAAAAGAAGCACCTGTTTTAATAATTATGAAATACAACTAAAAAATGGATTCACCCCACAATGTCATATTTCAACATGCTAAGTATGTAATCATAATCTCCAGTCTTTTCAATATTAAAGAAAAATATAAGAGAAGAAAAAGAAATATGGTTCCAAAAAGAAATATAGTCTCAAACACTTTATTTTCCTGAGGTCCTGAATATTGATAATGCAAACCAAACTTTTGGAGACTACAAAATGATTTAACTTACAAAAGACTAGTAACCTTTTTCATGTTCAAAAGTTTCCCTTTCTTTTTCGCAAAATGAAATTCCATGGACATAGCCTAGTAGATGAAATAAAAATCAGGGAATACTTGCCTTGGCAACTTCTCTAAATTTCCGGAAGGTTTTACTTGACTGCAGCTTGCTTAGAGTACTGGATAGAAAATTTATCGGTGTCTTAGGACTCTCCTCGAGTTTTGGATGTAACGTGTGGCGACTGTCGTTTAATATCACAACCATGTTCGAGTCCAAATAACCTGCATTGCTCATTGACTCGTAGACCTGACCAGTCATGGTTGTCCAATTGCTAATGACTGCAACTACACGATCTCGCTTGCCTTTGATATCCCGTGCAACTGCCATTCCTGAATTAAGAAAACAATATAATTTCACTTCTCAATTTCCAAGTTTAATCATGAAGATGGAAATAAGGCATCATGATTCATGACTAGATATCTCAAAATTTGAATTGGGGCCACTATTTGGTTGGCTAACTGAGGTTGAGTTCAATAATATAGTATGACGATACACTCACTAACAAATTCTTTTTTTTTTTTTTGGGATAAGAAATGTGATACAGTGACGGTAGATGGAGGTGTTCGGGGAAGGGGCAAACCTAGATAGACATGAGCAAGTATAGTCAATAAAAATATGAACCTCCTTAATTTGACTAACCAAATGGCTGTTGATAGAGTCGAGTGGGGAAGAAGAATTCATGTAGCCGATCCCATTTGATGACTTAAGGCTTGGTTTGGTTTGGTTTGGTTAGGTCACTCACTGACTCTAACAACTAGGAAAAAGAAAAAGAAAAAGAACCTTTCCAACTAAACACAAAGAATGTTTTGACTAGCAAATAACATTGCAGCAAAATGATTGACAGCTGACCATTCTCTCACAACCAAAAATGAATGCAAATTAATAGACATAAATACTACCAAGTCCAGCAGAAATACTGTTACATCCATGCCCTGCACCAAATGGATCGAATTCGCTCTCAAAGCGAGATGTGACACCCGAAAGACCATTCTTTTGTCTTAGCGTATGCATGAGGGACCGTCTTCCAGTCAGAATCTTATGTGCATATGTCTGTCCAATGCATCAAATTTTAATTCATAATACAGAATGACAAATAAACACAATTTGGTTTGCTCTGCTTCCTTTTATCCTTGAGAAATGCTTAGAAACAACACCATCATAACACAGATAAGCAACCTAATGATGAGCTCTTTCTCTCTTTGAAAAAATAAACCAAAACCAAAACAATGATAATAATAATGCACTTTCAGGTCCGACCACCCAAAAGAACTACAGACTTTCCATCTGCATGAAAATAAGAAATAAGGTCTTACTTGTTCCCCAATATCCCACAATATCTTGTCCATAGGAGCATGAAAAACATGGTGTATTGCAATTGTCAACTCCACCACTGCTAGACTGGCTTTTAAAGGTTTTTGAGTTTTAGACATCAGAAAAGACAACTCTGAACGGATGTCATCAGCTAATTGTTTCAGTTCCTGCACAGAGCTATTTTCAGCTAGATGAGAAATCAGCAACTTTAGGATAGCCTAAGAGTAAGAAACTTGTGAAAGATAAAACATTACAGAAAGCTGGTAGCTTAACCTTTGGAGACAAGTTTTTCAAGCGAATAGGGTTTTCAACTGTATCTAGTATGGGTGTGGCAACTTTCTCCCAGAAGAAATCATCCACATCAGGTAGAGAACTTATTCGACCAACACGTCCCTGCATCACAAAGAAGTCAAAATGTACTTGCCTGTTCAACATTCATTTTTCCCTTGTCTTTTCCCTTTTTTCATTCTCTTTTTGGGAGAGGAAGAACTATTGATTATTAAGAATATATAACCAGAAAGATGTTTGAATAATCTATAAAGTGTGAAGCAAAGTCCCACATCGCCATGTTATACGGTCTTGGGTAAAACTCACCCCAAAAGCTAGCTATTAAGGTGAGGGTGCCCTCACGCTTATATGCTTAATATTATTTTAGTACTCAGGTGATGTGGGACTTCGCTTCACACCCTCTCTCACGCCCAGCGTGCTCACTCGGCAACACCTGCAGTGTGTAGGCCAGGGACAAGCACCCTACCCATCCCTGAGTACTCTAGCTCTGATTCCATGTTATACGGTCTTGGGTAGAACTCACCCCAAAAGCTAGCTATTGAGGTGAGGGTGCCCTCACGCTTATATGCTTAATATTACTTTAGTACTCAGGCGATGTGGGATTTCGCTTCACACCCTCTCTCACGCCCAGCGTGCTCACTCGGCAACACCTGCAGTGTGTAGGCCAGGGACAAGCACCCTACCCATCCCTGAGTACTCTAGCTCTGATTCCATGTTATACGGTCTTGGGTAGAACTCACCCCAAAAGCTAGCTATTAAGGTTCTCACGCTTATATGCTTAATATTATTTTAGTACTCAAGCGATGTGGGGCTTCGCTTCACATCCTCCCTCACACCCAGCGTGCTCACTCGGCAGCACCTGTGACGTGTAGGCTAGGGACACGCCCCCTACCCATCCTTGAGTACTCTAGCTCTAATACCATGTTATACGGTCTTGGGTAGAACTCACCCCAAAAGCTAGCTATTAAGGTGAAGGTGCCCTCACGCTTATATGCTTAATATTACTTTAGTACTCAGGCGATGTGGGACTTCGCTTCATATAAAGACCCTTGTTTTTTCATCCTCTCAAACGGAAAATGGGAAAAGAAAATCTTTGATATACTCATATAATATGATACATAATAGCACAACGACTAGAAAATCACTACATGTTGCAAGATTCTACATAATCAATATAAATTGCTCCTTTGAGATGATTAAAGGAGCAAGCTGGCACCAACCAAGTACAACATGCAGGCATTCAGGGAAACTTAGGTGAAAAGGAGCATCATAATGAGCATGTTGAGAACATTGAGATGAAAAGTGCAATTTTGAAATTTCATACCTATGACTTCTATATAATCATGTTTACGATTAGTTTGTCTTATTTTTACGTATTTTGTTGATTATAATGCTGTTGGACAAATTTAGTGGCTTATATTCAGTTTTAATATTTAGGGATATTTTGGTAATTTAATAAATTGTTAGAAATTGGTTGTAGGGGTTGCCCTTGGTTTCTCTTAGGATAGCTTTTAAATAACTATGAAGCATAGACACGGATACAAACACGTTGACACAGAAAATTTCAAAAAAATAGGGCATGTACACAGCTTGGACACACCACAAATAATTATATCTTAATATTGTATTATCTAGGAATCTATATAACAAAACAAGGGGGTTGATGGGACATTTTTCTACGTGGACGGCTCAGATCTCTCTCTCTCTCTCGCGCGCGATTGTCACGGCCTCCACTCAAGGCATCAGCTTCAGCATCGCCGAGCGTCTCAGCTTAAAAGGTGCCTCTGTTGTTATCTCATCTCGCAAACAGGTTCATTTTTGTTTTTGTCCCTAACATTTTTTGTCTTCTTTTTCAGGAGATTAAACCTCAATTTATCTGGGTTAGTTGATTTTTCTCAATTTTTTTTGGGTCTGTGTCCTTCAATTTTGATTTTTCATTATACTTCTTCATTTCTTGATTATTTTACTTAAAATTTTAATTACATTATATGTATGCATACTTTGATTTTGAGGTGAGTCCATTTTGTGTGCTGGGTTTTGATTGTTTTGCAGAAAAATGTAGACAAGGCAGTGGAGAAGCTTAAATCAAGAGGAATTGAAGTGTTTGGAGTGGTTTGTCATGTGTCTATTGCTCAACAAAGGAAGAATCTAGTAAAAAAGACTGTTTAGGTGAGCAAACCCATCTTATTTGTTATCTTCTGAAAGTAGCTAAACAAAGGGGAAAACGGAAACTTGGGCTTTGATTTTTCTTGAGTATTTGTATTTCTATCTTTAACCCATCATGGATGGAGGTGTCTTCATTTGGATCCAGCAGGTATCTGTCCAGCAGCTTTTTTACTCTAATTTTTTTGGATATCTTTTGTTTCAATAATGTTTCAATAATCTTTAATTTACTCTAATTTTTGGATATCTTTTGTTTCAATAATCTTTAATTTCCAACAGGTTTGTTACTCAATAATATTTCCAGCAGGTATATTTCCAGCAGGTTTGTCCAATTAAATCACTTTATTGACGTTTATATTATTAATTCTTACAGTTTGTGTTTGAAACATTGCGTCTGAAGCATTGTGTTTGCTTAATAGGCAAGCATTGTGTTTGCTTAATAGGCTCACATTAGGCAGCTTGAGGTCTTCCTTAGGACCTTTCAAATCCAAACATTGTGGTAAGTATTTGATTTGTATTCTTACTGAAGCAATGATTGATCATTGTTATTCTATAATTATTTCTTTGGTTGGTTATCTACCTTGACTATACAAATCTAGGAAATTACCATCCATCATGCTTCCTATTGAGTTGAAAACTCAAATGAATTTGTAGGTATGATTTTTTTTATTTTTTCTTACAATTATCATTCTTTGGGTTTATTAAAACCAAATTGGGGTGGGGTAGGGTAGGATAGGGGGAGCAAGAAAGAAAGAATAATTTAAGCAATCAACTATATTATACATATATATATATTTCCATTTTATCTTAGTAAAATCTAAACCACATTTCATTTTTGTTGAAACGGTATGAGCACTTTCGGATTGGGCCGATGAATTTTCTATTTCAACGAATAGGCTCTTAACAGAATTATAGAATTCATGAGTTAATCTTTTTAAGTTGATTGATTTTGAAATTCATGACTTAATTGGTTTGAATTTGTGGCATCATACTATTCAAGCTTTAATTAATCTCATTAGAAAGTGCTTTTATATTCTTATAATTCTCTGATTGGTTGTTGAGAATTTCATCGTTCTAGGTTAATTTAATTGAGTCATTTAGAACCTTCCAATTTTTAAGCTTTATATATTCCAAACCTTCTATCTTTTAAATCTTTGTCTTATTCATTCCAATTTTCGTCTAGACACTTCTATTAAATGATATGGTAATTGTTTTGGAATGTAGGAGAGCTTAGGCATCATTAGTTTTATAGACTTTTGCGATAACTGATTTCTGCCCTTTTGTTGTTGAAAAAACTTATCTTGATTTGTCATTTCATTTTCAAGTGTGGCTGATTTGGTGTTACACTATGTTTTCAATTGTAAATATGAAATGTTGTCACGTGTATATGTGAAAGTATTTTGTGAATATGCTAACACACTTTCTGAATATTTGTTTTGATAGCTAAAGAAGATTCTTTACCCATAAAGCGTCATTTGAATATGTGTAGTAGTGTAAGCATATGCATTGCACGTCAATAAATTTATATTGGTGCAGAGTTGGGGACTTCGAAAGTATAATTTACACACTATTTTTGGTTTTATCGTTGAGAAATTTTGAAAATGATTGACGTTTTATAAAGTTAAAGTACGATTATTGAGAGGTAGATTGACGTTGTGTAAACTTATATAGATTTGGTTTGGTTGGATTTGAGAGGTAGACATTTGGAGGTGTTTGCTATTTAGACTTTGATCAAGAACACCATTTTGGTGTGCCTCTTATTTTGACGTTGTGTCTATGATAAAAGGATCCTCTTGCTCAAATGCATGCTGTCTATTTATTTTTTATATGTCATGAGGAAACATAATTTTAGGTAGCTTAAAAAAGAATATTAGGATTAAGGTTTTGCTGTGATAAATTGGGATGGATCCTCTTATTGCATTTGCTCCTCTCTCTCGCTCTCTCTCTCTCTCTCGCAAAAGAGGTGATATTTCCTTGATTAACCTTCTTTCTCTATAATAGCAAGAGATCATGCCTGCATTTTTTATTGCTTCTAGAAACCACACAAACCAACTGATAAGTCAATTGATTGGTTGGAGACGAAGGTGGTGTTGGGGTGTTGGGTATGAGGTGAGTAAAAGCCATGAATTTCATGTAATGATTTTCTGAAATGGTTTAGATTTTAGAAACCCATCATCTTCATGTAATGAATTTCTGAAATGGGTTAGATTTAAATGTGTTTCTGAATGGTTTTGATTCCAAAATATTAAAATGATAAATGAACCAGCACAATTATTGAAATGGGTTTGTCTGAAATGGGTTCTAAAATCAATCTTCAGTTTCTCTATTTAACTACTCTGTTTATACCATTTGGAGCATTACTTCTATTTTTCTCACTCTCTATTTAACTGTTTTGTTTCTCTACTTAATTACGCTTTAGTTAGATCTGCCCATTAACATTAATTTCAAGTTTCATTCTTTTTTTGTTGCCTTGCCTACTACCTGTTAGACATAATGTTTCAACGAGAAAAAGAGGGGTGGATTCCCACAGGGATGGGAGCTCAAATGAGCATGATCATCCAAAAATCGATACTCCATGCAAGGTAAGCTTTAATTGTTTTAGATTTCTTGTTCCTACTTATTTAGAAATTTGAATTTAATTTTGTTTGGTTTTACAATCTTCACAAATTCTTCTTCATTATAACATGACTCTTTTAGAATCAATACAGAAAATTATTCGCTCCCCTTACAAAATTTGAATTTAATTCTATTGGAGGTTTGTATAATTTATCGGCATTCTCAATTGGTTTATCTATGCTATAATTTGCTTTTCTATTCATTTGTCTACTTTAGTAGTGCATACACATTTCTATTCACTTCACCATTGAAGGACATAATTCAGTTGACCATAATAGTTGTGTTTCTTTGAATGGATATCTTTATGTATTCAAATTCAAATTATT